GCAAAAATTACAAAATACTGAAGTAATGTAGTATTGCCTTTAATTGCCTTTTTGTGGTTTGGTGTCCCTCCCCCCCCCCTTTTTTCCCCCTCTAGCATTTACTTTTTCAAGCTTGCTTACCCAACACAGTGCCAAAAATCAAAGAAAATGAACAGACTTAAAATGATAAAAAAAAAAAAAATTAAAGCACAGTGCTAGGAGGGGAGGTTATATGGAAATGAGAGACCAAAAATTGCAGTCTAACACCACTGTGAGGCCTGATAACTTTGTTCTCACACAGGTTTATCTTTAAGCAAGCGTGACATTTCAAGGCAAATATCTCAGACATAGACAAGAAAACACAGTTTATTTTTCTGCTTATGAATCCACTAAAAATTTCAGGGATGGACCCAGGCCTTCGCCAGGATACTTCAGAATTTTAAAGTATGGGAAATGCTATTCTCTTTTTACCAACACAGTGCTAACCTTCTGGATCTATGAAAGCTAATGGTAGAAATAAAAGCATCTTTTAAATGTTGCGTGTATTTTAAAAGTGGTATGGAAATCAAAATAGAATGATGTAACATGAAATTAAGCTGGTTTTATGGCTTGTAGGTCAAGTCTGGCTCAAATTTAATCATAGGTAATTTTTTGTACACTTGGAATCAGCTGAAGTATTTGCTATTTGAAAACTGCAATTGCAAAACTAATCTTTCTTATTGATGCTTTACTATTTTTCAAATGAAAACAAAAAATTTAACTTGCCTGAAAAACACAAATTCATAAAACATGACAGCCACACAGTAGCTAAAAGCTGCCATGACTGCATCCAGTTGGAGAAATTCTGCAAGTAATTATCTTGCATCTCTAAAACAATTACTGATTTAAAAGAAGCTACATGAGCAGTCAGCATAAAACCAGCTACAGGCTTGGGCACAGAAATTTCACTATGGACTGAGACAACTCCTGCTGTTTCTACCTTTTTTCAAATCAGACCATCTCTTGCTTGAGACTATGCTATGCTATAACCTGCATGAATGAGCCTTTTATCAATCATGATCACATAACTTGCTTTTTTAGAGTTGCATTAAGGTAGTAATTGGTCTGCTACAGAAATTGATTGTAGCTACTGCATGAAAAGGAAGCATCTACCTGAGACGAAACTACCTACCACCACTTACATACGTTACTAGCACTCCTCTGTCAGGACATTTCTCTCTCTCAGCATACATTGCTCATTGCAATGTCCCCCTCGTTATCTAGCGCTGCAAGATCAGAACACAATTTTTCAATAATCAAACTTAAATCAGCATGCCTATTTTTTCATTGTGCACACATGAGAAGGCCCATAAACGTAGGGACAAAATACATAGCAACAATAGTGCAATTGCTTCTTATTCAGGTTTGTGTACAAGTGTAGGACAAGAATACCTCAAGTCTTCAGACATGAGCATCCACTTGGAAGCTGGACAGTGAGCTTAGAGCACATCAGCTATTGCTTCATGACTACTTGGAGGCATGACCTTAATTCTTAAACTGAAATAATCTAACTTGCATCTACTGTGGGGCACATACATCTTCATTTATCCTTGCCAGCTTGTTTCCATGGCCCTGTTGCTTCTTAATCTCTATGAATTACGATATTGAAAATTACTAGCTATAGTAGCAGGCTGTTCTTACCCTGTAAAGCCTTTATTCTATCACTTGAAGCAGGATGAGGAAGATAACATTAATAGACACACACCACCCAGGGCACTCAACACAGAGCTATTCTAGCCATTTCAAGTCAGCTCCATAACATTTGGGCAATAATCGTATGTTTGAATTTGATTTACTCAAATCCATTTGTTTAATAAAAATTCATACTATTGGGCAAAATGTATATGAGACTGAAGTAAAGCAAAACTGTGAATTAGATATGTTACAAAATAGGAATGAGGCAACAGCAAAACCTGGTATAATAGTCTGATGCCGTACTATGGACTAGCATTTCACTGGACACAGAGACAAAAAGACAAAAGAGTGAACTGAGATAAGAGCTAGCACTGTAAAACCACTTCAGAGTTAGTCACTCACCAGTCTAGTTTGCAAACAGAATCACTAACAAAAAATTGGCTTTATGTACTCTCTTTAAATTCTAACGTGACATAACTCCTCAAAAACCAGAAGCAAAGGGACACTTGTATGACAGACAAGCATCACTTTTCAGTTTCTCAAATTCCCAGTCTGACTCAGAATTGAATATAGATCCAGTGGTTTCTTTTGTTTTAGAGAAAATTAATTTAACAGATGTAATGGCAACAGAATACGCTTATTCATACAGACTCAGATCCTGGATAACTGCTCATCCTAGAATAGGTCTTAGCAGATGAAGTGTAAAAAATATTCTATAGGAAGGGAAAAAAAAAACCAAACAAAAGCAAAAAAAAAAAAACCCAGGCATTGACCAGATATAGGATCATTTCAGCCAGGTAAACATTATCCTAGCATATGTATTAAGTATTAGACTGTAGTTGGCCTTTTGTCGAAATTCCTCATCATACTGGCATTCCCATAGGCCACATATCTGAAGAGGAGTGGAAAGGGAAAAAAGGAGTAGTGCTGTAATAGCCAGCAGTGCTTCCTTTGGATAGATTTTTTTCTGAAAGTCATGTAAGATGCATTTATAGTTGTAACTGCACAAGAACTGTTGCCATGACAAACTAGAGAATCAAATCTGATCTTCAAATTTGTTCAACATATCCGTGTTTCAAAGACAACACAGCATCCTCTTCACTTGCTAATGTGGATGTCATACTTGCATGGTTTTGCACAACTGAGCAACTGAAGTGGTCATTTTCCCAATTTTTTCCTTTCACTTAAATAAGAAGAAACTGCAGCTTAAAGGCTCTTTGTAAAGAGCACTTCTGAAAAACTATAATCAAAGTAAATTAATCTTCTAGCTTTCCAAAGACTTCTGTGCAGAACACGACTTGCTCACAAAAATAAAACATGACTTGTCTACAAGCATATAAACAGCAGCCCTTTTAGGAATGCTACTTTCTAGGTTGCAGTTAGCATTATGGGAAATAAACCACCTGAACTCCCCAAGGTTGACACGTGGGTCAAGTTGAGGTGAGCCCAGTTCCCCTCAGCTCAGTTTACAGCTCCCTTCAGCTGACGAAACAAACTTCCTGCGAACATCTCCTCTGCAGCAAAGTCACTGCCAAGCTGTCAGCCAAGCTACCAGGCAGAGAGACGTGAAGATCTGATAAGGCAATTCTATTTTCCAAGAAATTAAACCAAACAAGCAAGGGTTCTGGCCTATTTGACCTCTTATTTTCTTAGTAAACAGCTTCTAAATCACAAAATACAATAAACGTCTCAGGATAGCTTTTTCTGGCTTTCATTGCTTACTTGTGAAAATATTAATACTCATTTAAATGTGTCATACAGTCTGATAGCACACTTAAGATCAGACTGATCTTACTGATACCAGCTAATGAGAAAAGCTGCATGGTAATCAGTAATTCAGCATTTCCCAGATCAAGTGCAAGTACTTGAAACAAACATTGTTAAAAGTGTATGAGTTAAAGCAGATGTAAACAAATCTGCAAATAGATCAACATGAAGTACCTGGGAAAGCAAGCGTTATACATCTTAAAGTGAGCCTCTAACAAGAAGTAACACCCTGTACCAATTTAGGGAGACCTAGGAGAAATAACTGTGCACCGATAGCTCCGCTCTACAACAGAACGGACCTACAGTTTATAAAGCGCTGGGTTTGCAAGTTGTATTCTAGGATATCTGCAGGGGAAAACCGAGAGCCTCAATTTTTGCCCATCAACAAAAATGTATCTTCAGAAAATGCATTAGATTTTAGAAATCTTCCCAGAAGAAGTGAATAAAAAAAACCAAAACCTAAACCAAAATGAAGCAGCCCAGGAAATTTACATCATCCTGGAAGACACTATTCAATTTTCACTTGAGTCACTTCTCATCTGTGACAGCTGTATGCTCAGCATCAAATGATGAAAGTTTGCAGAACCAAGACTATGTCCCTAAGAGTTTCTGCTAAAACAATCTTTCAGCTTTCAAATATGAACTATTGTTCGTGTAGCTTTGTTTAAATGCATACAAATTCTATTTGCACCTTTTAAAGGAGAAAATAAGACACACAAATTCACCCTTAAATGTGTAAAGGCAGATAAGTGCCATTATATCATCTTGCACAAAACTATAGCCAGAGAATAATGGCATTTTTAATTTAATGTTCTTCTGTCAAGCTTGGCTGAGGCTTTGAGTAGATGTAAGTTTTCTTACTGCATAGTACCCATAACACAGGATCAACGATCAGGAGATAATCCTGCAATATATAGTAGCTATGGATAACAGCATAGTGGTAAATGTCAAACCTATTGGGAATGGGCCAGCACTGTCGCTTTCTTATCCAGTACAGTCCCTAACTAGACAGGACTATGGTAGCCCACAATGAGCTTTTACCTGAGAGACATTTTATGCTTTAAGTGTGTGTATATATATATATATATATAGACATATATGAAAACAGCACAGACAACTAAGCTAATCTCACTAGCATGTTGCATTTTCTCTATGGCAAGCAGAATATAAAGGCCGTCTGATTTCCCAAGTCAGGGTATACTGAATATTTATATAAACATTGCAGTCTGACTATGGGATAAGGCATCATAAAATCAAGTTTTTATGTTGCTACAGTTTGTAAGTCATCTTAATATTATCTCCAGTTTAACATTTCCTCTCTTTTCTGGATTTGTGGTTTAAGCAGTTTCATCAAATGCCTCCAATTCCTGTGAGATACATTTGGTGCCATCTTTTGCAGATACACCACAACAATCAGCTAGTCCCAGCTTGTGACCAACACAATACAGATTTTGGGCTCAGTATACACTTTTAGAAGACACAGCAAAGAAAAACAATATTTTTTAATATTAAATTCAACCATACATGCAGATATTGCCTTTTCTTTTATACTGTATTTAGCAAGTGCAAAGCACCTTTACCTGACAGAGCATCTTGTGCTTCAAAAAATGTGCTGAGACCTCCTTTCACATAAGCTAGACTCCCCTCATTTTTCTTATTGGCTTGTTTCTTCAAATTCACAACAGCCGTTTTGAGCTGATCAAAACTGAAAAACAAACAAGAACCCCCCCATGACATTAAAAAAACAAATAAGGTCAGCTAATGAAAAACCAGAACAAATTACTTGGAAAATAAAACCAGCTATTTTTGCTACAGCTGTTAAGGACTGAATAATTGCTAACAAGTGTGCTTCTCAATAATGACAATTTACTCTCAGTCCAAAGAGTCTTTGTTTTTCAGTTTTAATCCTAAATGGAGGACTCCTATCACTTGTGATGGAATCGACTTCTTTATAATACAAATTAGTCAAGAAATTTCTTCTAAACATGCAATATTGCTCTTAGTTAACTGTCTGTACTACATTAAATAGGTGATAGTACAATTCACTACACTTAGTACACTAGGATAACTACTGGGATGTCGGAAGTCTCTTTAATAACAACATTTGTTTAACTCTGCAGCTTAATTCTCAACCCTTTTTCACTTTCAGTTTCTGAATGCCTGCAATATTTTTATGGTGGTTTGGACATACAGTTCAGAATTAAACACAATATTAATGCAAAAATAAAGAAAAGCTGAACAGATTCCTGCTTTATGAAAGTATGTTTTTTATACGTAGTCTACCGAACTGTTTTTGAAAGAGGCTTCATAGGGGAATATTAATCGCCAACTCATCATTGTTGTTTGTATGGTAGGTTTCTTTTTATCTTAGTTTCCTAATATTTCTAGATTATTCCCAGTTTACATTTGATTTCACATTTTTATTTTTTGCAAGTAGCTGTAATTATTTTAGAAGTCTTATGTCATTACTAATTCTTCATTACATGCATATCATTTTTTGTTGATGATGATGAATACGATCTCAGTAGTTACGCTACTGGATTCATTATAAAAGCACTATCACAAACAAGTTCATAAATACAAATATAACACATGATTTTCATCCTTAAAGTCTTTTCTCCTACCTGCAGGCCAAACCCATCTCCCCAATACAAAAGAATCAAACAAAAAATTGCACTATACCTCAGTGAGGAGAGGGAAACAATGAAGTAAGGAAATTAAGACATAAGGCAATTCCACCAATACTGTCTGCTCATTTTAAACAGTGGTAGAAAAAGACATGTTAAGAGAACAAATCAAACTTTAGCCTAGGCAGTGAGAAGGCTATCACCACCTGCTGGGAGACAAAACACACTGGTGCACTTACAGGCGTTTTCCTTTTTGTGCTGATGATGCCACAACATTTTGCTTTATTTCCTGTTTCCATCTGCTGGACAGAAGTCACATTACTCAACAGCTGGACTGGTCGACTTGGGCATGCAAGAAGTACTTACCAGTAGCATTTTCAAACTAACAAAAATCTGTCCAGTTCTCTTTTTAAGCACTGTTTCATGTTATCTGATGATCTAATAGCATGTCTAAATAGCTTATTTATATTTGTCAGGATATTGCCAGGGGTAAAAAGAAAAAAGATATTATTTTGATTGCTTAAAAATAATTTCCTTCAAGGAAAAAACAGACATAAGCTAACCAAAACATCAGTGCACCACACATTTAGCACTCCCAATACCTGAGGTTATGTAGAAGACAAGAACCAAACCATTGCTGTGTGTTTCCAGAAAAACAACACAAATGATATGGGGTAGATAATTATACAATTCCAGAATACTTCTAAGACTACAGATTTTGAAGCGGGAAGAACAAAAACAAAAAACAATTTTGCTTCTTTAAAAAGCTACGTATAATTAGATTCAAAACATGACTGGATTCACCCTACCCTTTGAGCCATTCTTCCTGTTGAGTTTTTACACAGCTTTTGCTCCTTCAACACTAAGAGTTAGATGTTATAAACCAACATAAACTGAATTAATATGCAAAAAGCCACCTTTCATTTAAAACCAAAAATTGATACTTTTTATTCCACTGGACTGAGGGGACTGTAACTTGAAACTCCTGACATGCAAAGATATAAATCAATGGAAGATTTTTTTTTTCCCCAAGAAAGATGAAAAACTTAAGATGATACTAGACAAAGTGGTAAAAATGGTTTTTCTTAATAGGAAGCTTCAAATTTACATGAGAATGGACTTTCAGATACTGACCCATTGGCATAGTACAAGTTAAAAAGGGGCCATACAAGCGAATGTAATTATTTAAGTTATCAGTTCATAGTACTGATGACCAGAAAAATCAGCGGTTTTACTGACACCTTGTCATATAAGAGATATAACCATTACATTACGTTGTTGCTCATATTCCATGGCAATTCTCATAAAATGTGTCATTTAATCAGTTTTAAGAAGTCATTTAATTCATTTTCTGGATTCACAGCATCCTTAAATGTACCTAAGCCATCTATGACAGACAGCTGTCAAATCAAATCTCAGCACACTCCAGTGATGGTGATTCTGCAGCTTTGCAAGTGACACTGTCTCAGGGCTTAAGCAAGCTGATATTGTTTTTAATCTGCACCTAACCCAAATCTCCCTTGTTGCAAACTGAGATGGCTTGTTCTATGCTTGATAAACCAAGAACAATTGATGGCTATCCCTGAACTGCCCACCACATATTTCAGAACACACATTCTGTACTAATCCTGTTACTTTTCTATAAGCACCTAATTCATTCAAGCTGTATACCGAGAGATATTTATATACTCCTATTTTTGTGGCTCAGCTCTCATATCTTTCTTAAAGCAGTGGCCAAAACTTCAACTGCAGCTTTAATAATGCCAAGCAGAAAAATTATCCCCACGTCTTACATAACACAGTCTAGCTGATACACCCCAGATGACGACTTGTACTAGACAGCCAACTTGGTATTTATGGCATGTTACAAACACCAGATTGTCTTCTGTTCTACTGTTGCCCAACCCCTGGTGCGTACTCTGCTGCTTGCCTTCCCCACACCCCTTAGGGCCCTGCACTCAATTATTTCACAATTGCTACAGTCAAGGCTGCTGCCGGTTATCACGGCCCCTGCCTTGCCTGCAAGAATCAGATTTAGGAAACCAGCACCCCTGCTTGCCCACCTAGCAGCTCTGTTAGAAGTCATTCCCAGAACTCTCCACGAGCCTCCTGGATTGCTGCCCTTCCTGTAAATATCAGGGAGGTTGAAGCCTTGTACAAGAACCAGGGTCTGCTCTCTGGAGACTTCCTCAAGTTGCTTAAGGAAGATTTTGTTCGCTTCCTCATCCCACTGTGATGTCACCCTTTCCAGCCTGTTGAATGAGCTCTTAACCATCCTGCTACCTGCTTCATAAGAGGAACCATATATTTATTCAAGCTGTTTCTTCACACAAAGGTCAAGTTCCTCGCTTCTTTCCTGGGTATCTTTCTCAGAAGGCCTCTTCCCACCCATCACAGAACACCAGGCACATGAGCTGTCCCACTTTACTCCAGTGATATGCATATCTAATCCCATGCGTGGAACTCTGGCTCCTCTTACTTGTTTCCCAGGTTGCATGTGAGCATGTAAAGGCACTTGAGGTTAGACCGTTACAACTGGTTCTGTAATTCCCAACAGCGCTCTCAATGCCATCACTGAACCACACATGTAGCACTCTGTCCCTTCATTTAACTGCAAGCTGTTATCACCATCCCCCAATATTCCTAATTTGAAGTCCTTGTCACCAAAGTCCAAACCTGCCAACAGAAATGCTCCTGCCCCACTTTTTCAAATGAATCCCATTTCTCACTATCAGTCCTTGTTCTTTAGTAATGGATCCATGGCTACAGAAGTAAAAACCACTGCCTTTGAAACCAGCGGTACAGCCATCCGTGAACCTACCGAATGCATCCACTACCGCCTGAAGCTTTCCCCTTCACCTGTAAATCAAAGAGAATACACAGGCTGCCATGTTCTTCACTTTTGTCCCCAGGGATTTGCATTCATTCTTGATCTGCTCTACATCTCTCTTGGCAGTGTCACTGGTGCCCGCATGAAGGAGCAAAACAACGCTAACAGTCCAACGGCCAAATGTAAAGGAAATTTCTCAAAAACAGCTACATCAAAAGCTGTTTGTTTTTTCTCACTTTATTATCCCCTCAGCTTTTTTAAAAACCTGATGATCCCCAAAGTTATCAGATTGTGATAGATAGAATTCATTTTGAATCACTCCTCTTTTAGTTACTTGATTTCAAAAGATGCTGTCATTATGTGTGTCTTCGGTAATAATGTTCTCTTGCTGTTGTTTTGGCTCTTCAATCTACCATCACTTTGAAAGGAAATTAAAGTATTTCCCAAGCAGATTAATGGTTATTCCTCGAGCTCCTAAAACCAAACACTCCCCCCCCCCCAAAAAAAACCCAACCCACACCTGTTTCTAGCATTAGATAACAAAAAAAATTAAATAAATTTGCAAAGTGGTATTTCCCTTCAAAATGCTAATCAGAATACCCAGCTGCAAACAACAAAAAAGGCTCAGCATCTCTACTAAAAATGTCTTCCAGTACTACCCGAACACCAGCAGATAAAAGTTTCAGAACTCAGTTATACATGCAAAAATATATTTATGTAATGCATTCATGTAAGTATATATTATGAACTAGATTTAAAAACGAAGACGTTAACGGTCAGGATTTTAAGATACTTACCGCAAAGATCTTACTCACTTGTCGAACTTCTTTTACTATAGCATTTTCCACAAGAGTTAACTAAAAGCTAACTGATACTGCTAACAATTTAACTCTTAGTCTGTTCAGCGCCCTTATCCTGAGCCTTTAGTCATGACTTAAGTTAACACCTGGAGTTTCCACTCAGGGCTGTGCTGCCTAGCTTCTTGATTCATAAAGGGCTTTAGCCTGAAGCAAGACAACTTCCATCTGACACTGGCGGGGGGGTGCAAGACACCTTCCAGCTGGCGCGGGGGGGGGGGTGGGGGGGTGGCAGGGCAGGGAGGGAAGGCCATAGATTAGGTCTGGTTAAAAATGAAGTTTTCCTCAGAACCACATTGAGCAAACTGGTTGATTCAAGTTTCTAGCCAAGCAGAGAAACACCACAGGCAGTATAGACTACAGGTGTATTACGGTAAATGTCAACCACCAATGACACACCTATTGTATAATGAAATAACATCAAGTGACTTGCATTTAAAACAATTATTTATATGATAGCAACAAACCTTGTTGTTGAATGATTCTCAATCAGGTACCAGGCAGCAGAAAAGTTTTCACTAGTGAAATCAGCACTCATCCCAGGAAACAGTGCTTCTAAATCTTTTTGAGGAAATCTGCCTCTGAAAAATGAATATTCATTTCTTCAGTGAGACATATTCTGGTGAACAGCCTACAATTAAAAGTGTCACATAAAAAAAAGCAAACCAAAAAACCAAAAAACAAATCATGCTTCAACAAGATGTAAATATAAACTTGTATCTCACCATGAAATTAAATCTGGTATAACAGACACATGTAGCGTGACTGGGAAAGAAAAGATTGAGATCTAATCTAAGTAAAACCAATTTTACCATTTTGATTTCACCATTACAGAAATGCTGCCTGTACAAAATGCTTCTAAAGAAAGAAAACTGCTGCCTTCACAAAATGGGACTAGACGGACTCACTGTGATACTACTAACATTCAAATGCAGGACTACTAATGCTGACTGTACTCAAAGCCAAGTCTGTCTTTTAAACAGGAAAATCAGTACACCAAGCCAAGTAAATACAAGAGAATATTCTCTATAAGCCGTGAACCAGTATCTATCTAACTTTAAAACTACAGGACGTCACCAGGTTGACAGCTTGCAAGTGATCTCGCACCATCATTGTCTATTGGTCCACGTGCGGCAGAAGTCCCACCGAAACAAGAAGGAAGATACACAGAGCATACTTCCATTACACACAAACACTGAAGGAAATCCTGAGTTAAAATCATCCTCTTGCAAAACAGAATACATTGATCTATCTGTTCATAGTACACAAAACATAAAGGAAAAGTGGGCATGTCTCGAGTGAGAAACAGCATGCTTTGTTTGTTTTTATTCAGTTTTACAATGCACAAAGATAGCATGCGAGCCAATTCCTTGTGAAAGCAGTTTCCTCCACAACAGCATTTTTGAAACTACAAGTACCTTCTAAGATACTCATACAGAAAATGCTTTCCATTTATTTCAAGTCAACGTAGTAAAAATATTTAAAGCACTTTTTGATGAAAACATGACAACCTTCATCCCTCAGTCCAGACACACACTTAACACTTGGCCATATATATTCCTTCCACCATGCACACTCAGTACATCACCAGGTGCTCTCACCACTCTCTTCGTTACCACCAGCTGCATCCCATCTTCAGAAACTAATCATGGCAGACAAGTTTACTTTTGGTCAGCCCTGAACTGGTCAGGCAGTTGGACTAGACGATCATTGTAGGTCCCTTCCAACTGAAATATTCTATTCTAAAAATTTACTATGTCATTTTTGGATCACAATATCAAACTCAAAAGTCAATAAAATCCCTCTCTGATGCTCACAAGCTAGGTAAACTCTGCTGTACAAAGTACATGTACACAAATGTAAACCTGCTGTACTTTGCATTTGAGATCAAAGCTGGGTGGGGGTAGCAATCTGGAGACAGCTATTGGAATGACATTTAATCCGTATGAAAAGCCATTTGAATGGACATGAAAACAATGATTTGTTAGTTTTGTTTTTTTCTGTAATCCAAACATATTTCAAGATAGCTAAAGCTGGTATTGTTACAAAAAGCAAGCAGCAGATTAAGTGAAGCAAATTTAAAGGCAGGCACATTAAAAAGTACAATTACATAAAAACAAGAGCTGTTTTCTCTAAGTTTCTATTCATATCCAAATGGCCACTAGCACAAGCAGGTACAAAGGACCTACAAACATAGTGACATGGCACAGAAGTCCTTCATCAGTAGCACCTGATTACAGCAGGGGCGTGAAACAATACTTTCTAAAAACAAGCAAAAAAATCAAATGAGATGCAAGGAAAAGTGATGACAGATATGAAAAGTAGAGAGACAGGGAAAATAGTGTGAGAAACAGATGTAGCAACTAAAAATGAAGGTTCCAACATTACTGTGCTCAATGAAAAAGTGATAATGTTAATACAAAAACTTATAAACATAAGTAGTGAGATTCAGGATTACCAATGACCTTGAATTTCATGAATGCCAGTTAGCAGAAAATGCTGGTGGATGTAAGAAGAAGAAGAAAGTTTCAATTTATCCTTCCTTTAAAGACATTTTAAGATATCTTATTTTTCATTCAAAGTAGTCAAAAGTGTCCAGTAGTCCAGTAGGCACATGAATTTGTAAGACAGTACTTCACAAGTGATACATGGCACGGCTGTCCGAAAAAGCTTTTATGTTAAATCCATGCATGGTGGCATCTTTGTTGTCAACTATATTTTTTTAATGCTAAAAAGCAAAAACAATAAAAAACTTTCAGTTACCTCAAAAGAGGCTCAGACTTTCAGTGCAAGCACTGTTTAAGTGCATGCACACAATACAGAGGCAGAATTTTGTTCATAGTTTTCAGAATTTCACTGTACTTTCTCAGAAGCCAAAAGAAACAGATAAAACACAAAAAGCACACACACTCAACAAATATACCATTACCAAATGCTACTTATTATTGCAAGATTGTAAGACACATATATATGACAGTTTAAGCTTATGCATGAGCTATACAATTCCTGGTGGGGGGAAACAACTATTTTAGAGAGAGAAAGACCAATAATTTAGCTAGGGATGTAATAAATTCCTGCAAATGAGTTTTGCCCACAGACAGTGGGACAGAAATGAAAGGGTTTTTTTCAGTTTGATGTTTGACTGCATTGAAAAGTTATTAGGAGCTTTTTTCCAGCAGATGTATTTGTGCAGAACCATAAATTAGCAATGTGTTTATGGGTGCTTTTATCTGTGCGGACATATTTTAGACATAGTCACAACAGAGTAGAAACATGAATGTGAATGTGTGCGGTATGTTAACAATATGTTATACTCTACGGTGTAGTATCCTTATTTTTATCATAAATTTTACCAGTAGTTTTTCCACTAACAGATATGGGGAGCTTGGAATGACTTGCTACAGCTGTCTTCACAACAAGCTGCTCACTAAAAGTTCAAACTGAAAGCAACTGTATTTCTAAAATGTCTGGCTAGATGCATCTAAAAAGAGACTGACTCCACACACACACAAGCTTGTTTCATTAACTTCCATTAGTAAATTAAATAAGTCAGTCCTTGGAAGTTGTTCTCATGAAAATTTGCTTACCATTTATTTATAAACAAGCACATATGTGACTTGAGAAAGTATTTCTGGTTTACTCATTTCAACATTATGGGGTGAATATGAACTAGTAGCAAAAGCTAAGACCATGCTGACGCGCAATGAAATTGTTGATAATTTTTCTGTTGATTTGCTCATTATACAAGAATCACTTCAGGAAGCAACTCTGAATACTTAATCATTGATTAAAAAGCAATCACTGTAAAAGAAACTGGGAACCACAAACTGAATCCAGAAAACCTCAGAAAAAGAAGAGAGAAGTTTACCATCCTCGACAACTCTACTTATTTCGCTACCTTTACAATTTCAGCAAAGGTACACATGTTGAATTTATATAGTAGTACTTTCTGCTAGGCAGACTATTTTATTTTAAACAGAACCAGATCTGGTACTAGACCTCTAGTTAACATTTTAAAGTAGTCTTATTCATCCATCAGCAACAATTTTAAATATAAAAGTAATTAAGATTTCACATACTGTTTATTTTCATGAGAACTATAAAAATAAATTTGGTTTCAAGCCACTACACACTTTCACTTCTCTCAAACATATTTTGAGTGTATCTATACAGCCATGCAGTATTAGATGTAGTGGTCCTTGCTTCCATGTAAAGGGCATGCACATCTACTTTGGATTCAAAACACATAGGGTACAATCAACTCACTTGCACCGCATGTGCCCATCAATACAAGTCCCTCCCTCCGCTACCCCAAACTTCTATAGGTTCTGTATAGCCTGATAACAAATCTAATTTAACATCACAGCATGTAGCGGCTCTTACAAATTCTACTACAGAACTTGCGCATCTACAGAGCATCTGTATTCTCCGGAGGCTTAAGATTAGCTGTAATCTCCATGGTTAAATCACAGCCTCCAAGCAGTCACGATTGAGTAATAGCAAGAGAATGCAATGGATACAAATGAAGAGAGCTTTACTATGAACGCAGCTTAGCAAGTTGTAACTTTTCTGTAAAGATTATTTTGCTCCCAGAGTTTCAGAATGTCACAGTATGCTTTTCAGCATACATGACAGCATTTGCAGATTAAAGGCAGGTCCCAAAACAGGATAGAGCCACCAAAAGGTAACTTGAACCTCAATTCCACAGGAGTTTATAGGTCAAAAGGAGCAACTTTAAATAAACACAGAGTCTGAATAGCAACCAGCATAAACAAGCTCCAGCTAGAGCTGCTGTACACGTCCCCCCTCTGTCTGGTACCAGGCAGGCTCCTAGAAGCAGGCTTTGTACCAGCTGTACTGTGTTAATCAGGCATTCAAGTAGACCAGCATAAGGGACCCTAAAGCAGACTAAACACGACAAATCAGAAGGTGTTAACAAAGGTCTCTCCAACAACCAAAAGACAAAGATGCACTCTGGCTATTACTCCCTAGTAGCATTGGGTTTATCAGAAATATGACAGCAAAGTGACAACCATATTTGAAAAATGGCAGAATGTGATAAGAGAAATCTACTGTAGGCTGGTAGCTGCAACCGATGCATCAGCCTGACAAGCAGTAAGTGTTACTGTATTTTTTAACGCCATAAAACTAGGACTGCATACTACTATATACTGCATCTCTCTGTGAAACTGCAGGTTTCACAGTTTTTCCACATGCATCTTTGTGATAAAAGTTTCCACAAGTCCATCACATTCCAGGATGAAATTGACTGCATTTCCATACAAGCCACTTAAAAATAAATAAATATCAAAGCCTCCAGAAAGTCTTTTCCCACCTCATGGTAGCAAGCTGACGTTTACCATTAGGTGGCAGCGTAAGATCATCTGTTCCCTCCTCCCAGATGAACTGTTTTGGAAGCTGGCGTGGGAAGAGGGAAGCATCTGTATTGAGTGGGTGGATACAGAAGTATGTGGAATGTACTTAGCATGTGAGCATTTGCTTTCATGTACGAGATGGATCCACCATAATGACCTCTGCTACATGCAAAAAAACAAACACTATTCAAAAATTTTCTAACCACCACTAGGTCTGACTGCTGTTACTGCTTTGCAGAGAATGGATTTTCTTAGTATGACAGAGTCGTTAGAGGAGGCAGGTAACCTTTGATTAAACAAGGACTTGCAGGAGGGGAAAAGTACATGGTACATCTGAACAAGGAATTCATTCACAAATCTCAGGTAGATCTAAACTTTCCACCAACAGATTTCAACCAGTGCCTTTATGAAACAGGCATCACGTTCTCTCCCAGAACTGTTGTTCAAAATCCTGAACAATCCTATGTTGGTAGAACATAACCTACCAACCTCCTCTTGTAACAGCTCTAAACTGCAAAAACCAACCCAAGTACTGCAACATCGCTGTTAATGTTAGCATTTTCATACCAACTTTCCACATTTCTCCGACTGAGGTGACTACTCTGTATACCCTTTTTCTTCCCGCAAGCTATTGAAGCCTTCTCTAAGGGTTTCTGGCTACATCTGCATAACACCACAGCCAGAAATATTCCTTGGAGAGGAAGGTGGCACAGTTCTGCTTTGCACTTAGGGCCAGCGTAATGATGGCGATAGAAAACCAAAGCTTTCTATCAGTCTTTACTCCATCCTGAGAACTAAAAAACTAGAACTCAAACATTAAATATTTTAAATACCTACTTTCTGATGTGAATTAAATACTTCATAGCATACACACAAGGGATAGCAATGTAAAAAACCCCTCGTCTCATTGGAGCAGTTCTGTGTTTTAAAAGATGAACAAACAACTGTTAGCAAGGCAGGAGCACAAATGTGTGCACTCTTCTATGAATGCATTTGTGACTTTAAGGATCACCCCTGAAACATAATAACCAGCAAGTTCAAGTTTCATTACAATATAAATGATTTTATTATTTAGCAACTGAGATTCTTAGTTAGTTGTATGGCACAAGAACAGCAATTAATTCTTGGAAAATATGAAGAGCTTATCAGCCAGAAATTATGTACACTTGCTACTTGTTAAACTTGCAGGCTGAAAGATGATGGCTTGCACACAGTGTACACATATAACATTTAAAATATCTTGACTATGTAAAAAACAACCAGGAGGATGAGTGTGTGTCCATAGTTCTTACTTTGCATCCTTGCAACATTTGACTATGCAAACAGAATTCCAGCGCATATTTTGAGTACATATTACTCCTACAATACATCCACAGGCAGTATTCTAATTATTAATAGAATGTGTTAGACCCACTATTATCTATTTCCCTTAATTCACAGTTTAAACCTTTTGTTCACTTAAATCCCAGTCACTCCCAATTAAACTCCAATCTTAAGTCTACTGAGTCAGAATAAATATTTTTTTGTCACTGTGCTTGCCTAATAGTTTAATGAAATGCTGTACTAAAGCACTTCTGTTCATAACTTACAGGATCTTTTTTTCTAGTATTTCAATGTCCCATTTGCAACACCTTGAAAATACTCACCTGAATAATTCAAAAGCCATGATTAATTTTTAAACACATTTTAATTGGACAAAGCACCATAAACAATGTTTAAAAAACCCACAGAAGGAACTTTTAGAACTAAGTGTAACCCATACTAAAAAAAAGATAATAAAAGTAACAATCACAACAG